AGGGTAAACGACGTCCACACTAAAACGAACAAGTGGAACCAGGAAAGAGAAGGGTGGAACGTCCGTTTTATTTCGCTAAATTTTATGCAGTTTACTCATTTTATTATTGGTAAAGTAGTAAAGATTTTAAGGGTAAAGTTTTGTCGGGCGTCCGAAGAGGGAAGGGATGACGGAAACTGGGACAAACTGGGATGATGGGGAGGAGGAGGAGGAGGAGGAGGAGTAAAAATTTAGAGAAAATTGTGAAAGTAATTTACGGACAGCCCCTTAGAACAAACCTAAAAAACCGCTGTGAAAGAACCTCTGTAAAAGAAAGCGGTAAAAGATCGGACCCGATTCTAAACTTAGGCAATTACTGGTTAAGAATTTCCCGTGGGGGTCGATGGTTCTTACCCGGACCGGGGCGGCGAATCTCCGTCCCCCACGTACGAGAAGGCGTCCCCGCCCGGCCGGGAGGAGATGACGGGTGGCAAGAAGCATTTTCTTTGCCCCGACGTTGGCGGTGGTAGGAGAAAAGAAAACGGACCGTTCCCCGGGACGACCAAATCCCCATTTACATAAGCGGTAAACGGGAGCTTTGACCAAGACCGTCGCCGCATCTATCATTCCGGCGGCCTCCCACCCGTAAAACGCCGGTTGGTGGCAATCTCCGCCTTCTAGGCTCGGGCAGTCTTCTTCCGCTTCCGCCGGCGGACAGACGAAACCACCCTGGCGATATCCTTCCGTCGTCGGTAATTTCGCCCAGGCCGACGACTCTCTCCCCGTCTCCGTTGACGGCGGAGGGAGAAAGGTGGCAAATGGACTGGGGAAAGGGGGCGAGTTTCCGGTAAACCGGGTCAGAGATGACCGGCGCCTCCCGGGGAGAAGATACGACCCGGAAAGCAGTGTGTCCCGGACCGTTTCTTGGCCCGCGACCCGAAAGAGGCTGCCACCGGCGCGCCAGAGAAGGCCGATGAGGGTGGGCGTAAAATAGAAGACCAGGAGCGGATCTACATAGGGACTAATAGGGCTTAAGCCCTAGGCCCCAAATGTCAAGGGCCCGCAAAAATGGAATTATTATCTTAAACTTTTGATATTTTTCATTAACAATGAGTATTTATCTTATAGTAAAAAATGGTTAATATTAATAATATAATAATGATGATAAATTATAGTATTTCTTTTATTGTAATCAACGTAACGTAATTGGTCAGTAATTAATCAATGTAAATATTTCTTTATTTCTTATGTTTTTTATATAAGATATAAAGTTTGTCATTCAACACTATTTCGTTAATAAATATATTTCAACTCGGAATTCGGTGTTATTAAAAATAAATTTTAAACCCCAAGTTAAAAATTCTTAATCTAACAAAAAACGGGGTCCCATTGAAGTCAATAAGCCCTAAGCCCCGAAAAACCTAGAAGACAGTGGAGTTGGGTTCCGGCCGAAAGGGAGAGTCTTTCTGTCCTCGGACGGAGCTAATTTTAATTAATTAGGCGGAAGGGGTACAAAACGCAGTCCGCTTTCATGCGGGACCCGCCGTCTCCTCCCGGAGCGGTTTTCCTCGGCCGCTCGGCGTACGGTGAGCTGGAGCCATCAAAGTTACCCTCCGCCCTTCCTTTTTCCCGGGACCGCTTAATCGGGCGAAAAGGGAAAAATGCGGGGGACCGAATCCGAGATAACAGTGGGAAAGGTAGGAAAAGCGGGAAGGCATCGGACGCGGTTATAAGTACTGTACTGTACTGAACATGGCGAATTTCTATTTAGTAAAAGGTGAAAAAATATCGTTCACAAATTTTCCGTCGGGAAAGAAAAAAAAACTTATTGTCACGACGTCGGGAGGACGTTAACGTCGGTCGGTTGGCACCCGGAGGTTGTCGCCATCGTCCTTTCCGGAAGTCGAACTTATTTCGTCTTTGCCCGGATTTCAGCGACGGGACGAAGAAAGGAGCGGGGACCTGGCCCTTTTCAAGCATTAATCGTTTCGGATTCTTTCCCTTCTGTTCGACAATTTCTCGGGCGCCACCGCCACCCGTCGCGCGTTGGCCTTAATCCGAATCTTTTGGAATCGGCGGTTTATATCGTTTGGGTTTCCGGTCTACGTATGTATCTACTTGGAAGGAAAAAAAAACAAATATCTGTACTCTAATCCTTTGTTTCCGGACTCTTCTTTCCCTTCAGGCCGGCTAACCCCCGTCCCGCTATTATCCCGACAAAAGGTGGCCGCTAAACGCCGTGGGCGGTGGGTTAGATCGGTCGGGCGGCGGAGTTTTTAAAATAGTTTTTGGTAGACCGTTATTGTTTTAACGCGAGAAAGTCCGTCGAAGGCATTGGAAGATGGGTTTTCCAGTAAATTTATCTAACGACCGCAACCGGGAGAAAATGAAATTCTCCTTCGTTGGTCGCGCCGTTTCGCAGGCTCCGGCGGTGGAACGCCAGAGTGGGTGGGCTCCCCCTCCGCTTTGCCCGTACACCGTCGACGGTTTCCGTTTTCCGGTTTTCCGCCCGGCGGAGGTACGGTACGTTTTATCGGAAAGGTCGAATTAGCCTAAACCAACGGGGAGATAGGCGACCAAAGTCCCTCTTACCGCAAATCATTTTCGTAGTTTCCTCCCCTTCCGAGGTGCAGGGTGGTCCCCAGGAACGACGAAAACCCGTGAAAAAATAAAAATGCGGAAATATTCTTCTCCTACCCGAGGGTGACGTATTTGTACGCCGGAAAATATCACGTTTGTCGTTTCCGACTCCTCCTCGGGCTCTCGTCGTCCGGCTTAACGCTACGCCAGCGTCGGAGTCGCGCGTGGTGTTTTTTGCCATTAGAATCGCGTCGCTTTGTCTCCGCCCTACTTCCGGCGGGTGATCGATACGGTTTTTCACCCGTCCGCGGGTACGTACCCTAGGTAATTTTTAAATATAATTAATACACTTAATAAAATGACCTTACGCCTTGCTTTTTGCTGGTAATTTTTTTTGTAAATTTATTGCGGAAAAACTAAAGTTTGTTTAAACCAGTGTTTCTCAACCTCTAACGAATCGTCGCCCCCTTCAATAAAACCGTTACGTAGTATCACCCCCCTTCAACGTAGTATCGCCCCTTCAATAAAACCGTTACGTAGTATCGCCCCCTTCACTACAAAATTCCGATGCCGAGAGATAAGGCTAACGCCAAATTCGTACTGCATTGAATAGACTAGTGACTAGTATAATGCTATTTGTTTAATTATTGTACGATATAACGAATAAAATATGTAATTATTCTTAATATAACGTTTTACTGTATCGCCCAGAAAATTGTTTTTTCACCCCTCAAAAATATAAATTGTTACTAATCGCCCCCTCAACATGGAAAACGCCCACATGGGGGCGATATCGCCCCCGTTGAGAAACACTGGTTTAAACTAACTCGGCAGTTGCTTCTAAACCAACTTCTGTCATTTTCTTCCTTTATTTAACTTAAATAAATTCCTATCGCCTTTCGTCCGACCGGGCACCCGGACCTAAACTACGGAAGGAAACGGAAAGGTACTGAACCACGACGGAAAACGACCGGTGTGAGATTTCTATCCGTCTGCCGTCCCTTCTCAGCCAGAAAAACAGAGCGTCTTCTGTTCGGAAGTGGTTTCCGTATAAGTTAAAGGGGAAGGTTAGTTAACGGCGACGGCGGGCCACTTTTCCATCCGTTTCTCGACCCGGCTCTTCCTTTCAACACTCATACGCACTAAATGGCTCGGGCAACGTCCCGGAAGCATTTGCCCAATCTTCTGTGTCGACGGCAAAATTTTACCAGACTGTACGATTTCTTTCGTCCCAATTCCTTCCCAGCTGCAGTCGACAAAATATTTTTTACCCGCCACCGCGCCGGATCTACCCCGTTAGCCGAGGAAGAAAGAGTACCGCGCCGGTGCGTGACTCCCGCCGTTTCCGCGAAAAGGAATGCGCGTTTTCACCGGTGCCCGGGCAGTGGGGTTGAAGAAGTAATCGGAGGAGGTCGGCGGGAATGCCTACTTTTTTCCGGAAAGGCTCGAAAGCCGAGACCCGTCCCTCTTTCGCCTCTCAGGCCTGGATTGCCCTGGCTCCGCCGGCAACCGCCACCGCGCCGACGGATCGAAACCGAAAACCGCGCTTTAATCTCTCCCTCCCTCCCTCTCACCGGCCGATCCCTTCCCGCTGGAAGGTCGGAATCCTTCGGCGGTTTCGGAGGACCGGGCCCGAAAAGTTTAGACCATCCGGGAACAGAACGCAAGCCAAAAAAAACCAATCAACCAATCGCAGAATTTTTCCGGAAGTCGCGGTTCCTTTGCTGGTCCCTAGCAGTTACGTCTTTTACGTCAATTTAATGCCCAAAGATTACTTAATGGTAATAGCTTTTAATTGGTCGGCCACTTTTGCTTCTCTTAGAAGAGCCAAGAACAAAGTAGAAGCGGCGTATTTGGCGACTTTTCTCGTCACATTATTTTTTTTATTGCGGACGGCGAATGAATGGCTTAAACTTAACTGCCCCGTTCACGCCTATACGCCGGCACTTCTTGGTCCACGAACAACAGCGAAAATACAACTATCCGCTTCCTTCCCCCATCCTCCGCTTCCGCTTATGCCTTTCGTCCATCTCCGGAACGTCGCGCACCTGGCGGATAGAACGTTGCCAGAAGGATAATTTCCTTCCGAACGTTTCTTTTATTTCTTTGCGCGTGGACGGAACAGGAAGCGGGAACCAAACTCCGTCCACCCACCACCGTCTTCTTTCTTCTGGAGGCGGAGAACGGCTTCTCCGGCGGTGGCCACCCTCCGCCCGCTTTTAGCCTTTTCCTCGGGCCCGGTCCCGTTTGAGAAAGCGCCGCCTCCCGCCGGTCCCCTCCCCTCGGGCTCCGCCCTTCTCTCCAGCGGGCGCCCGCCCACCGCGCCCGGGCCGCGGGCGGAAGGCGGGAGGCGGCCGGAGAGGGCCGGTCTTGCGTGAAGAGGCGGGATGCTGGACGCTCCGCGCACCTCGTCGTGCCCGGCCGCAGAGTGCGCCCGTACCCGACAGAAGAGAAGATGCCCGGCCTGCACCGTCGCCTCGTCCTGCTGTTGCTGTGGCTGGGCCCGGTGGCGGGCGAGGCCTCGGGCCTCGCCGGTCGCCCACCTCCGGCCGAGTATCCGGGTCACTGCGTCAGGATCCCTCCCGGTTTCTCCTCCGCCAAAACTCCCGGCGACAACGGATTCAGGATCAGGATTTCGGGAAACCCCGACCGATATGTTCCCGGAGAGATGTACACCGGTGAGTGTCGGCGCGCGCCCCCTCTCCGCCCTGCCGGAAGCGGAAGAGGCGACGTCCGGAACTTCCGGACCGGCGCCGTCTCCTCCGTCGGGCCAGTTTGGGGTGGGGCTGACCCGCTCTTTCTCCGCAGTGGGACTGCAGGGCTACAGGACACAGTACAGCGTGCAGAAGTTCGTGGGATTCCTCCTGGTGGCCGAGCCCAAAGACCGCAAGAACGACGTTTCCGCTCTTTCCGACGTGGGTGTGTTCCAGGTACGGAGTCGGCGCGGCAGCCGCTTCCGCCGGCCCTCTCGACGGAAGAGAGGACGACGGGATTTCCGTCCGGCGGACGACGATCGATAGAGTCTCACCTCCTTTTCCTTGCAGCTGTACGGAGATGCGCTGTCCACTTTCTCCGAAGACTGTCCCAACGCCGTGGTTCAGACCTCGCCCATCCCCAAGTCCGAAATCCAGGTTATGTGGACGGCGCCCCCGGCCGGATCCGGATGCGTCGTATTCAGGTGAGTTTCCTTTTTCCCGTCGCTTTCTACGCCAACCGAAGAGGGAAGAAGGGGAGGTCGTTACCCCTGAAAATTGGCCAGAACCAGGATGGCCACGCGTCCCGGAAAATTCCGGTACTTACCATGGAGGGAAAGTTTCCGGTGGGAAAGAACGGTGGGCGGCTGGCGTTATTATTAATAACGAATAATCCGTGGCGCAACGTTTCCCGCTTTGAGTGACGTTCGGCGAGGAAGAGCCGAACTAGACATTTATTTTGGGGAAGGATAGCGTTTGGCCCGTTTACCCAGTCTCTCCCCGTTAAATAGGGGAGATAGCCGTCCCAGTGAGAATTCGGAGCTAAAAAGAAAATCGTCGACGGCGTTACGATTGTTCATTCCCGGCGGCCGGAAGTGGAAAAGCTCAGCGACGACTAACCCGGGCGCGCGCCGTTTCTCCCTCCCGGCGAGGAAATGCGCTCGGGGATTGGTCAAAGGCGAAAATGGCGGGTAAATCGTCCGGGAGGCGGATGAATACTGGACCGGTGGAAAATTTGACCGCGGCAGGAAGACGTAAAAGGATTTTCGTCGGGGCGAATACTCCGTCTTCATTCCGACGCAAGGAAAAGGAGCGGAACCTTTCTAAGAGCGGGTGCCGAAACGGGCAAAATTTTGTCACTGGCCAACCGAAAAATTTTAGGAGCGTATTATTGTTTGATGTAGCTTCTCGACCGTGTTGCGAGAAAGTCAAATCTTGTGAAAAATCCGCTAAACCGGCCACCCGACTGCTAAGTTTGTATTTCGCGGATATGTTTATTTTGGAAATGGGATGTTTTCTTATTTTTGCCAAACGGTGGACGGCCTTTGTTGGTTTATTACACTTTTATTTATTGTGGTTGAAGTCGACCACGTCTTAAAATAAACGACTGGGACGAAATTTCGGTTATTAACTTTTTAAGGTCTGCCCTGGGTGGCGCGGCATTATTTAATTCTCATTAATTAATTTTATTAAAATAACATAAGTTACATTTCCTGATTTCGCTAAGCATTATCAGGATTTAAAAACACTAAGTAATTATGACAGTGAATACAGCATAAATAACAAACAGAGATTTAAGAGCAAAATTGTACTGTACAATGATGGGAGGGCAACAAGGATATTAAATAATGGTAGATACAGAGTAATTACATACACAGAGTTTAGAGTATACATCAAACAAGGCTGCCTTTAGAGACATGACAGATATTTTTATATAATGTAATATGCATTAGGAAGCCCGAAAGCAAACATCATACATTATAGTTGATTGAATGTATACAAGCGTAAAGGGTGACGTGGCAGAAAAAGTCGACTGTCCACAGACGAGTGACCGTTTTCCGGGGGGCGGTAAAGGAAGCGCCGGAAAGTTTGGGTTTTTCCCAGCGCCCCAAATAATTACGGACCGCGGCCTACTAGCCGCGATTTGGCCGAAACGTGGCCAGAGTCGGCGTTACTGGCTTCCAAAGGTCCTCCCGACCGATTTATGGCGTTATCCGTTTTCCGAAATTGGCGGAATTCGACCGGAAACGTCCGGTAGCCGTTAGTGCCGATTTCGTTTTCCGAACCCTCAGACTAACGTGGCTTTCTTAGCGGTCGCCACTATTTAAAACACTGCGGCCGAACGCTGGGCTCTTTCCCTTAAGTTTTCCTGGGGATTTTAAATCCGGAAAATCCCTATTTAACGTAAAAACTAATATAATAATAAAATTTCGACGTATACGGGGTGGTAGCCATAGACGCGCTCACCCGTATTACCCACGACCCGGTCAATCGCGGGATCGCACCTATAAAGAACGTTTGTCGTACCTCGGGTGTGGCGTAAACTATTGTTTTTAGGAGGTACACATCTATTTCTAGCACGCCTACCGTTGAATCCCACTTCCGGGGATCTTATATCTAACGGCTCCCTGACCTAACGCCTGGGAATAAATAATTATAAATTGTACGGTATTTTTAAGAGGGAAGGGCCCGGCCCCACGTAAACCCGACGGTTTTTAAACCTTTCCGTCCGGTCGACTTGCCCCTCTCCTATCCGGTGGGCTGGCGTCTTTGCAAAGATCTCATATCCTAGTTTAAATATCGAGATGTTCCGGTGCGAGAAGCAGCCGCAGAAAGTCATAGTCTAGGCGCTTGCCCGGGTAAATAAATAAATAAAAATGAGGAGAATTTCGTTAAAAGTAGGAAATTGTGGTGAAAATGTATCTCCCGGACACATCTTCGCCTTATGGGCTCGACTGTATCAATAAAAAATAAAAAAAACCTAATATGATCGAACCTATAGATACTATCCACAAACTGTCGTGTCTTCAAGGTCCCCATGGTCGGCGTAGGGAACCGGGGATCCCTACGCCGACCATGGGGACGCGGTTGGCGGACCGACCATCTTATGGATCGATAGAAATAAATTTAATACCCGGCATTTCCAATTCAGTTTCTGCGGTAATCGTAACCGGGAAAACGGTAAAAGCACCGGAACCACGATAAGACAGTTAAAATTGTAGTTTCCCGCGGAATTATTCTCCCATCGCCGGGAATTAACGGAAGAGGTCGTTGGGACACCCCTTCCTCTTCGCTTCCCTTCTTCCGGGTTTAATAGGTCGGCCCGGAGGCCCGGCCGGGCGGCGTGGTCCGTTCATCGATCGGAAGGAGCCGGAGCGTAACACACTTCTCCCTTCCTACCTCTGGGCGCCGGGGGCCCGAGCGGCGCCCGCTTCCCAGTCTTTCCCTCTACCTGTGCCTGTTTAACAGGTCGGCCGATTACCCACCCGTAAAGACCGCCTCCGTCGCGCCCCGACGCTCCGTTTCGCTCGACCACCTTTACGGTCGGTCGGGTGGGTCCGTACCCGCCCTAAGCCTGACGGAGAAGAAAAAACATCCAACTTTTAAGGCGGCCCATCTTTTAAATTTCCACTCACATCCGTTTGACTGTCTCTTTCCTAAATCTCGAGAACCATACACGAAAGTCGAGAACGGATACGGAAAGTTTAGGAGCTTAACTGTATACGGGGACCCACCGGTGGCCCAACAGTTCCGTTCTCCGAACATTAACGATTGGGTGGGGGATTGGCGCCTGGCCGGGAAGGGCCGGCCAGGTGGAGTTTCCCGGGTTTTCTCCACTTCCGTAAGCCCCGAACAGGGCTAGTTATCCTTAAAAAGAGGTGGATCCCCGTTGTCAGATAACCCAAGTGTTGCCTTGCCATAACTTAACAAAACAAACAACTATATATGAACGTCGGAACTAGACCGGAAGTCACATCAATTGAATTCAAAAATTCCCCCCAACGGAGCAGATAGATGAGCGGCACGACTCTGTCGTTATCGGGAAAAGTACGATGTACGGGGGCGAGATACTACTAATTTAATACGGAGAACTGACGTTTTAAATTAAATAAAGAATATTATTAAAAATTGCGGTCGGCATTGTGACCACGTAGCAATAAATAATTACCGGTAACCAATAAAGTTGCTCGTGACCAATGTTCCCTCTAATTTTTTTTTGTAGATGAGCGGAACATATACTTCTCTGAGCAAAAAATTTTTCTGAGCATATATATAAAATCTTATTTTTTCCTATAAAAATTAAAATAATTAATTATAAAGTAGAGATTAAAATTCATTTTAAAACATACTTTTATACAAAATATTATCTTTTGTCAATGATTTAATGTATTTAATCGAAATATAGGCACCAATAATCATGTTGCAGACAGAATGAGAAATAAGTAAACAACAATTCAAATCAGTGTGTGCATGCTCGCCTGTGCGGCACATAAATTCTCGTGCGCGGCAACAATTTGAGCAGTGCGCGGCCGCGCAGC